TTTATAGATACACTTTGCTAACAATTTTCAAGTGTACCCATCAGTCAATCAAGACAAGTTTATTTTTGGAGAGTTAGAGTACAATGAAAAGCTGTTTTGTTTTGACTTTTAATATCTCAATGTATTAGTTTTATTTGTTCAAAGTGAACATATATTTTTAATAATTTTAAACATAATGATCTTTTAAAATCAATTTGCGCTTAATTCAGATATAATTTACCCTTAGAAACATTCCCCAAACAACCAGGTTCTTGGCTGATGGAGAACAGACTCATGTTTGAGGCAGGGAGAGCTTTACCCTCCCTGAAGCCTACACAGGTTTAGACTTGAGTCATGCACACTAGCCATCTGTCTCCCATAGTCTCTGTTCTCAAAAGCCACCAAATTATGAGCTAGCTTCATGTACCTGCCTAAGTATTCAAATGAAAATTTTCATATAATTACAGGACTTTACAGCTACAAATCAGAAATCCAGTGGGCTTATGCAAGAGACTAGATCTTTCCGAAGTTGGTGGCAAAATAGGTCATAACTTATATGCTTCACCTTGACCAAAGACTGTGGAAACTTGTCTGATTCCCTTCTGTGCATTTGAAACTACAAATGGGGCAACTATTTAGAGGTCAAGCTTGAATATCCTTCCAAGACAGCACTCAGCACATAATCAATCACTACTGTGTTATAAGATTTATAGTTTACTAAATACTGACATCTGCTGAATTGCTGAAGATAAACAATACATGAACTATCCCTTTCTCTTTTCCTGCAATATAAATTTATTATTTAACAAAACCAAGTTTCCATTACTATCAAACTTAGGCTGAGCCTAAGCTCAAGTCCATTCTAAGCATATATTCAGGGGAAATCCCTTATCTGACTGTTGTGTAGTAGAGAAGACAGTAATGGGACTTCTCGTAGAGGGTTGCACCTGGGTAAGAGGGCTTAGAAAAGAAGGATACAATTAGCATATGACTCTGAATAAGTCACTTAACTTCAGTGACCCTCAGTTTTATTATCTGTAAAACAGTGATAAGGATACTTTAATAAATTCCATTTAAATCACAGAAAAAACGTTTTGTGATAAGTAATGCATGATAAAGCATCTAATACAAACCTTAACCCATAGTAATTGCTCGATATGTTCATTCCCTATACTCAGAAGCAAAGTAGGAATCAAAAAAGGAAAGAAGAAAAGCAGTTTGGGTCCATAAATTCACCCCATCTAACTCAGTATAACTACTTTTTAATTAATAGAGAGAGCTCTAATTGAGAAAGTGTAAAGCATTCTAAATCTCTTAGATAAAACCACATGCCATCTATTTCTTGTCTCTAGATAAAGTAAAATCAATATTTGAATTAACGGAAGAAATTAAGTGGTTGCTGAAACCATTTTGGAATTTAATAAGTTTCAACACGAAGTATTTGGTAAATGATGATACAAAATACTTGTGCCCTTAAAACATTCTTCACAAAACTTTTAGGGAAAAAAGTCAATCAATCTGTTTGTTTGTAGGTACACTGGCAGATTAGCAAAGCTAATGGACTTGGGGTAAACCTAAGCACCATCACTCACCTTGAAGTCAAGCCACCTAAGGAAATGTGATCTTTAAAATGTAGATCAGCAGACTGTGTCTCCATGGCTGTTTAGTCCTGTACTGTTATCATTGAAACGGACCACCAAGACAGCAGTAGAGAAATAATCCCTCTTCATTTAAATGAGGGAATAAGACCACAGAAGGGGAAGTGGCATGCTGTAGTTTGGAACTTGAGCCCAGAACACTCCATTTGTAGTCCTTCCTCTTTAACCCTACTATTTGGAGCTTACTATCCAGCCAACTCAAAAGAATGGAGAGAACAAGTGTTTGCAATTATGCTTAAGGTCGTTAGCAGGAAGATGGTTTCACTACTGCCCTCCTTCCCACTTCCTTCCCATTTATGTCTTGGAAGCCAAGTCTCACCTAAGCAAGTTCTGCCACAGGCTTAGCCCTGTCTCTCAACAACACTGCTTAACAGTCACTCAATGAGCACACATTTCCAGATCACCTACTTCTCTTTTTCTCTTTCAAAAAAGTGCTTTACTCATACAATAAATTTTGATCCTATTTTTTCTTACTATACCCAGAGATGAGCCTCATGAGAGAAGCTTCATCTTGTAATAGATGGTCGTTAACACCCACAACTGGACTAGGCAGTGTGCCAAGAACGGGACACTTCGGGGCACCCAGCACCTTCTTTTAATAGACTGCTTTATGGAGCTTTTCATCCTCCAAGTCCAGGAACAAAGGAATGAAAGGAATGGGAAAGGGAATTGCAAGTAAACTGCCAAGAAGATCAGACACAGAAACAAATTGCAGTGGGCTAAAGAAAGTTCAGAGTAAAGTGTGAGATCCAGTGTGATCTGAAACTGTGCATAAACCATGGTTAACAGAAAGAGGCAGGAAGGCCAGACATAACACCCCTCTCATGAGCAGCTGGAGACAAATACACAGGAGTGTGTAAATAGGAGTAAGCTCACACAAAGTGAGTGCTGCAACCTTATTTAATGCTTCATTTACAATGTCCTAGTCAGTGAGGTACAAGCCAAAGCCCATCTCCTTTGTGTAATTCAGGTCAGTTTCCCCGTGAAAACATTGTCACCGAGCCAACAAAACTGAATGCTGGCTTCTCTGAACAAGTCCTGGGTGTAAATAGACCAATAAGTGATAGGTCCTTGTATCTCACTTATCTATCCTAGGGCTATAGACCAGGGAAGCATAGGAGTGTAAATTCTGTCACAGTGAAAGTCACTTTCTCCTAAAAGGGAAAGATGGTAAGCAGGCTAAAGAATACAGATCCTCTAGGCCTGCCCTGGCAGCTCCCATTCTGGTAAAATCACAGCATTATATCTCTGAAGAGCTTCTTAGAAAAGAAAAATGCACCCCCCCAGAGTTATTGAACCTTAATCTGCATGACCAAGATCTCCTGGTGATTTATATGCATGTCAAAAATCTGTTACTTAAATAAGAAGGATAATAGCAATTAACATCTGCTTAGTTTTTAGTGTTTCTGGGTGCTGAGCTGAGTAGTTCACACGCATTTTTCTATAGAGAAATGAGCT